AAAGGTTACTTGTCGTACGTTACACGAGGTTTAGAATTTTGGAGCGACAGAGTCGCAATCTTCCGAACCCAACAATATTGTGAAAATATTTGCTTAGAATATTAAAATAGGTTATCATAGCAAAATTTTGGATCTTGTGCAGTATAGGTGATCCCCTTTAATGACATGTGTTATTAATCAATTGATTATAAAGTATGGTTACCTATTCTTTTTGTGCAATGTTTTTTTTACCAAAATGTTCAAACTCATGATGATAAATAGTATTTACGGTCCCGGTCTTTTTTCAGTCCCAAAACGGTCCTCATAATATTGAGTAAAAAAAAAATGTACATGATTTTTGTAATATTTTAATCAAGAAATTTAAGGAACCGGTCTTAGGCAGTTCGATCAGTCTGGTCTCGGTCCCACCGGTCCATTTGTCCCATTACATTGCATTAATTACTAATTGCGTTTCAATTAATTTTATAATAATTTTACAGTTTTGATTGATTTTAATTGTATGACATGTGATAAAAATTAAATGCGATTAATTTCTTGGTATGCCTCTATACAAATATAAAACTTTCTTTTGCATTGGAATGGAGTTATTGTAGATTTTAGATCTACTTAAGTCGATTTTGAATAAATATATGTTGTAATGGAATTATAAATTCATGTATATTTTAGATCTACTTATAGTGGTTTGCAAAAAGGCGTGACCCCACGATTTTCGTGATAACGATAGTGGAGAATTTCGAAAACTCTGATTTTCTATCAATCATATATACAATCAGTGATATCTATATGAGTGACAAAAATGGAAAACCTGTAAATCATTTCACTCATTGAGTGAGATTATTTGCAGGTTTTCCCTTTTCGTCACTCATATGTATTTGGGAATCGAAAAATCATCTACTGTATAGCGCTGCATATAGTACCCCGGGTACTATTCAAGAAAGTCGTCTTGTATTGAATAATACCACCCAAGCATTAGGAGATTGGAAGATAATATAATTAATGGTTACTTATCACTATATGCCTTGCTATTAAACATACCAAGCACAGTGAAAATATCGCGCTATTAATTATGAAAATTGGATCAGAAACCGCTTTTCAAAAAAATGAGGGATACTATTCCAAGGGTGTACTATGTGCGATTTTACATTACACGATGATCTGCAGAGGTCACACCTTTTTGCATGATTGAGTTCAAATTAATTGCCCTACAATCAATCAATGGAGGTGACACATATAAATTAGTCAAATCTGTTCATTTTTCTCTTTATTTTTTTCTGGCCAACATATCCTATATTCTATGAAGATTTAACCTCCCAGAGATATCTGGATGCCTGATTTTGAAAATTTAAATTAACCTTTGTTGATTTTTTATGCAGCAAAATTTTTGTGCATAAATTATAATTTTATTTTACGAATTTTTATAAATAGATAAATATTTTATTTGTTTTAGTCTTTCATTTTTAAAATAAAATATTTAGCATTTAGGCACTTAATATGTCTGAAGAAACATTATTAGAAACATGCTATAACATTAATCAAATTATGAGATCTGTTTTGTCTTAACTTTATTTTACAACCATTTTGCTATTGCTAGGGATTTACCAATACCATCATCTGGTAATAAAGAAAAATTTCTAGACAAGATTTCAGGAGCAGGCTATAACATTAACCATATGATAGGAGCTGGTTTGTCTTAAATTTTGTTTATAAACTTTTTGCTATTAATTTATATAGATAATAATTATTATTTTGAAATAGGAATATTTCGAAACCCCGGTTTTATATGGTTTCTGATTAAGTCACCAGGAATTGCTTTAATACTTTGGGTTGTCGGAGGCATTGTTAGTTTATTTGGAAGTCTAGTTTACATTGAGGTAAATTATATCTGAAAAAAACGATTAAATTAGCAAGTGAAATTATTTTAGTTTATATTTATCGTATGAAATGTTTTATTTCCTCCTTTACAGTTGGGTATTAGAGCATTTCCTCGTGGAATAGGAGAACAAATTTATATTGATGATGCATTCAAAAGGAATTTAGGACATATATTTAGCTTTGTAGCAATTTTGTAAGTAATTTTTAAATCGTTGTTTCTATGTATGTATATATTTATAGTAATCCACTAAATTGTTTATAAAAGTGCAATCTTTCCTGGATCTATAATAGCTGATTCCTTTACTTCCGCCAGATACCTTCTTTATGCCATTCAAGGAAATTCTTATGACGATAATAAAATGTAAACTAAGCTTGTTTTGGATAATTTATATTATATGCAGATATAATAATTTAACCTAATTTGAATTTATAGCATTCTAGCAATTGTTACAATTATTATGTTAGCAATAGTCATGGCATACCAGATACTTTCTAACAAATTATTCGTCTATATAAATCAAGCACTTGCCTTGATTAAAATTATGGGCTTACTTATTATTTCCATAGTCGGACTAGTAAACTTATCTAATGCTGGCAATTGGAAAACTATTTTCGATAAACCTTCACCTGATTTTGGAGACTATAGCGAAGCTATGATAAAGGTAAATTATGTCGTATTGCTTATCATAGAATTTTCAAATAATTAATCAAAATTTAAACTTAGATTCTATTTGCATATGAAGGTATGTCAATAAAGACCTGAGTACAGTACTTTCATTTATGATAAAATAGTTTAATTATATTTGTCTACTATTTATTCAAGGATGGAATAATATAAATTGTAAGATATAACATGCCATATTCGTATTGAATAAGATTAAATACAGTTTAATGTAATTGATAGTTGATAAAACCAATCTTTATAGATTCAATGGAAGAATTAAAAAAAAACCAGAAAAAAGGAATTTGAAATATTCAACCATCATCAGCATTGTTGTTTCCTTTATGCTTTGTAAAGTTTCGGTCTTCTGTTATTTATTAATTTATTTTGACCTATAATTCTCTAAAAAAAAATAACTATAATTCTTATTTTTTTTTCTAGATTTTCTTACTAATACTGCTTTTATAACAGTGGTTGATCATGATTATTATGTCAACATGACCAATTTTAAGGAAAGCTTTGATAACGCTATTGCTTTACGTTTTGTTGGAAATAATGATCTTCAAAAAAGTTTTATGTCAGCATTTGTCGCAATTTCTGCTTTTGGGAGAGTAGGGTCAATGTTTTTCGCGTAAGTTTACCAGTTATTATTCATAATTAGATGTAGTCTTTTATTTTATTGAACTAATATCCTATGTTTTTTTAACAGTTATGCACGAATTATTGCATACGCCGAACAAACCAGGTTCATGCCTAAAATATCTAACACATTCAATCGTTGGCATACAAAATTCAGTACCCCAACTAATGCATTGTTAGCACAATTTTGTTATTGTTCGATTATTATAATTTCTTTTTCATTAATCGGAGAAAACCCTTTTAACTTTTTTTCTGGCATGACGCAATATTTGTCTCTGATGTTTCATGGAGTCAGCTCGATTTGTTTGTTTGTAAGTAATAGTTTTATTATTTTAATTTAATTAAATTGGTTGATTATTAAGAAGGTTTATCTAACTAGGTTTTAAGGAGAAAAAATAGCGGAAGATATAATGAATTCAAAACACCTATAGTTATTAATTTGATTTACTTCTTATTCATATGTTTTATTGCCTTTGCATCATTTGTAAATGGGCGTAATGCATCTGAGAAGATAACGGAGAGGCCTTATATACCCTATATTGCATCTTGGAGCGCTATCATCGTAGGAATAGGTTATTGGTATCTTAATAATTATATCTATCTGATGAAGGTAAATAATGTAGATATCGTACCTAACAATATTGCACTTTCTAATTAATATTAAAATAGATATTTATTTTATTTATTAGAGTATTTTTTTGTTTTTTAGTGTAATTAATTCATTATCAATACTTATTTTATAATTATTCACAACGATAGAGTATGTGTAGACAAAATTCATTAATATCTTCGAAACTAATATCTAATTTACCTTTGGTATCATACTCTTGATTTTATACTTAATTTCACATTTGATTTGAAGTTCTCTTTCGTTTATTTCGATACTTCTGGCAAGTTGTCAATTGTTCTGATTGTTATTAATAAAATTTTTACGATTTAGTTAGTTTACATTTGCTACAACCTTTTTTTTTTAATTTGGGTTAATTTATAATTAACCCAGGGTGAGATTCGATATTTCTCACCAATACACAAATTTATTATAATCATATGTATAATGTAATTTATCAGTTATAGCATTTAACTGTGCTACAATCTTATCCATGTAAAACAAGGATTTCGTTAACCAATTTAACTATATTGTATACCTGGCTAGTTTTACAAATGCTAACCTTAACATTACCGAACTTCATAAATTTCATAATTATATACGATTGAATTTTTTGTTGATGATTACTTAGACTGTAATTGTTCAACCATTGAATGATTAATTGACTATAAAAATTATGAATCCAGTTAATAGAAAACATGGACTTGTCTGTTTATTAATAGGAAGTCATTTATTTTAATTAATAATTATTATGTGATTTTAATAACATTTTACCTGTTAAAATTTTAGTTTGACCAGTTCTAATTTTCTAACCAATACAGAGAAAGTTTAATACTTGAATTGTAACTCTAGGTAGATTCGAAACATTCAAATGCACATCAATTTAAGTTCGAAGCACAAATTAATTAAAAGACCTAAATTAAGTAGTGATATAGCTAGAGATGGGAAAATCGAGGTTTTTTTGAATCTACTGCGCAGCCTGCACAGCCTGCACAACCTCAGTCCCTAGAGACTTTTACTCTTTAGGTTTCGCGTTTATATACAAAACATCTACTTTATATGTGTAAAGTTGGGCTCCCATCATTTTTAATTAATGCTTCAAGGTTAGTTTAAACGTCAGTTTTTGTTATTTTGCGTTTTTTTTCACTTTTTCTGTGAATTGATAATTCTGGTCAAATTTGCAGATCATTTGGCCAGATCTAGAACAAACCAACTTTAAATGTGGTCAAAT